GACAGAATAATGGCCTTATAACATAGCAAAGAGTTTAAAGAGTTTACCTCTTTGTCTATTCTCTGCATTGGAGAAAATGGCCAGGATGAGGGTCTTCATCAAAACCCTGATCATGCTGCCATCTTGATCTCAGACTTCCAGCCTTCAGAATTCTGGGAAATATATGTTTGCTCTTTTAGCCACTGAGGCCATGGTATCATATTATAGCAGCCTGAGTAGACTAAGACAGAATTGGTATTGAAAAGTAGTGCTGCTATAATTAATACCTAAAAATGTGTATGTAGCTTTGGAACTGGGGCGTGGATAGAGAGTGAAGAAATTTTGAGTTCATGCTAGAAAATAAGTTAATATTGCCATGAAGAGAATTTTAACAGTGATTCTGGTAAAGGAAAGAGAGGAGCTGCGAAGACAATTTTCATTTTCACAGAGAATATATATAAACAATCATGAATAAGATGTTAGTGGAAATATGAAGAGTCAGCCCATTTTGAAGAGACCTCAAATAGAAATAAAGAACTTGTTAATATTATCTGAAACTGGAAGAAAGGGAATTCTTGTACACTGGCACAAAACTTGGCTGAATTGCATCTGTGTCCTCATGTTTTGTGGAAAGTAGAACAATGGAGGCAGAAGGAGGCCAACCACTCGCATGTGGTCATGGAGCCAGAGATGGTGGGATGGACTGGACCGGAGCTGTCATCTGAACAGCTATATCCCTTTCCCTCCACAAGAGTAGACAGTGTGGACACAAGCAGTTTAGGGGAGAAGGTTGGGGTTAAGGGACACTGCCAGCCAGGAAAAAATCCCTCTATCAGGCATGGTCCCTGAACAGATTTACCTTGCCTGGAGATCCCTATGACTGACCCACAATGTGTAGTAACCTTATGTGAGTGTTTGCATTTTAGGAAAGTAGAAAGCTGTGATAGTTAGATACTGCTCATCTTCCAAGGACCTGAAAGGCATCAAATTACAATATGTATGCGGATATGCTTTGTAATCTGCAGAGTGGGATGTGGAGATTATACTGTGTCCCCACTGTGCTCGGGCACAGTGTCCAACCTGGAGGTCCTCAGAATGAATTAGCCTCTGATACGAGAATAAATCAAACATGGGCATGTACACACCACACCACACACACACACACACACACACACACACACACACAGTGCATATGCCCATTAGATTGGCAGCTTTGTAAATGTAGTATCTGTGCCACCCCTGGATCTTCAGTGCTATGCAAAATGATCTAAAAATACCAGTACTCGATAAATGTTTGTGATTAATAACAGCTATAGTGCCTCTCCTTTTACTTGAGGTTTTTATGGGGCAGACTCTCTCTTTGGGGCCAGATGGAGGAACTGATAGGAACTGTTGACTTTTATTTCTGTAGAGCACTGTTTATGTATTCTGCATGGTGGGAGGCAGCCATTCCAGGATTGAGGGCTGAAAAGCTGCAGCTGGGAAGGCAGCAGGTCTAGTGACTCATCAAAAGGCCTTGGTGACAGGTGGGAGGTTGGAAGTGGCAGAGGCAGGAACCAGCATAAAGAATATTCCTTTGTTTCCTTGGGGACTGGTTTCCCCAGTGCACAGAGCCAGAGAATGGGTCTTTCCCCACCCAGAGACCTGACATGGGTAAATATAGGCTTGTCACATATATAGCAAGCACACTAGACCAGTCTGGCCAGTAAATTGTAGGGCTGAGTGTGAATAATATGGCCTGTGAGTAATACGGTCACAATGGTCTGTGGTCACTGTGACCAGTTGTCTCACTGATGGACATGGAGTAGGTTAGGTCACAGGCAGTGTGACCAGGAAGGCCAGCTTTGACCACAGATGCAGAAAGTAACATAAGAGGGAAAGGAGACTTCAGAATGTGCACAATCTCCAAGCCCAGAGCCAGGTGGCCTTATCTGGCCCAGTGTTATGCCAGGCACAATAAAGAAAAAGAAAAATAGGGGTGGAGACGGCAGTGACTGCAGAGGACAAAGGCAGAAATATCAGAAAAAGCTCTAAAAACCTATTTTTGTGGTTGGTGAGTAAAACTCTTGGAACGGAGTGAATACAAAGAGAGGCTACAAGCCCATATGAAAACTGGCCGCAGTTGTGGTTACACGAGATAGAGATTGAACCATCTCCCTAACAAACGTGGCTTGATGGGCCACATGAAACTGACATTTGTATGCATACAGTGGAAATGTCTGCATTGACTATGTTGCCAAATCAATCTATCATCTATCTATCTATCTATCTACCTATCTATCTATCATCTACATTTTTTTATCAATGTATTAATCTAAAGAGGCTGCTAAAAAATATTGTCTGAAAAAGAAATAACTAAGACTGAGCTGCCAAGGCCAGTTGTGTGATGGTACTTGTGGAAAGGGCTGCTTTACAAATGGCTTCTCAGGCAGGGACCCACATTCATTCCTAAATATGAAAAGGTGAGAAAACCGAGATTTACAGAGGATTCCACTTAGACTTCCTCCACCTTTCAATGAGACTGGGCAGGGGGAGGAGCCACTATGCACACGTAATCATTTAGTTGGAGCCAGAGAGAGTAGGAGACAATTCAGATTACTTAGTGCCAAAGCTGGCTAAAAATTATTAGGGCCAAGTTGCAAAGCTTGAATTAAAAGAAAGGATATTTAATCTGTCAGTAGGGAAATTGAGGTAGGCCCATGTTATCCTAACTTTTGGCCCCCACTTTATTAAATCAGGGTTTTAACACTCCTAGCTGTTCTAAAACTATTGACTCTTTCTTATCATGAGACTGGCAAACAGACAAAAGACGATATAAGATATCAGTCTCATGATTTATCTTAAGAATCTGTGAACTGTGGAACCAGGATTGTTACAACTGAGAGATACCTGCTCACCTTTCTGAAATGAGGAGCTGAAAAGATATTTTGAGATTCAGAAAGGGTAAGGGATACAATGTTGACCTTTCCGAGACAGGAAACCTTTAATGAACTAGCGGACATCAGGACAGTTCATTTAAAAGATGGTTTCAAAGCATTATCTGGGGCCGGTTTTGTATGTGCCTCAGTGAGGCTCTTGGGCTGTCTTTTTACATAAACCCAGGAAATAATGGTTTCTGCAGTTGTTCATATGTCGGCAATCCTCATGTGACATCTTGGTTTCTGGGCTTTGTAACTGCTTTTCAAAGTCTCTTTTGTGGGCAAAGTTAAAATTTCCTTCTCATTTGACAGCATGGAGCTTTCCTGAGATGGGCTGCTAAGGAGAAAAGAGACAGGAAAAAGTCACCAGACCATCCTTTAGGCAGTGCAAACAGCGAAACAATGTTATTGCTAATGACATCGACTTGATTCTATAACATGAGTCCCTTCTCTGGTCTGGAAAAGTGAAGGATCAGCTGCTCATAAAATGTAGAGATGGTAAATCTTGGTTGCAAGTAATGTTGTATATATTATAAAGATAGGTTTACTGGCTTACTTTAGGGTTGTGTTTAGGCTTGCTTGTTTCCTCTCTCTCTCTCTCTCTCTCTCTCTCTCTATATATATATATACATTCATTGTATATACATATACAATTAAAATTAATGTACACATCCATATATGAATATGGATAAGAATACATGTACACATACATATAAGTAGTTTTGTTTGTTCGTTTTGCTTTTGGTGGTGCTAGGGATTGAAGTCAGGGCTCCACACATACTAGGCAAGAGCTGTACCACTGAGCGAAACTGCAGCCATGTGCACAGAATTAAGGTACAGAATATTTAATATATGCTAGGGTAAAAGGAAAAAGAGCTTCCAACTTTGATTTATAGGCTGTGATTGATCACCTACTAAAGGACAGTACGTAATCAAGGAGCTAGATTGCCACCTGTTAACTCTTTAAAAAGCTTTTTTTTTGGTACTGGAGATTGAACACGGGGCCTTTACACTGAACTACATCCCAAGCCCCCCCCCCCATCCCCCTGTTTTAGTTTTTATCTGTAGAAAAGGTCTCACTAAGTTGCCAAATTGCTCAAGCTGGGCTCAAACTTGTGATACTCCCATATCAGCAGGAGTGCTGGGATGATAGGCATGTACCACAGCACCAGGCTCTTTTTTATCTCTTAAGGACCCTAAATTCAAGGTAATCCATACCTTTAAAAATGCTTTGGTGCTAGATGTAGAATTAATGGGAATGTCTAGCTATACATGAGGAAGCTAATACTTCAAAAATGCCGAGTTTAAACTTAATTTGAAACTTATGCCCGAAAGAGTGAGTCCCAAAATTGTGCCTTCATTTACTAAGCACATTATTATTTAGGAACATAGTGGATAACAGTAACAGGGACATCAAGAGCTCTGCAGGCCTTGCAAGCTAACACAGGAGAGCAGGAAATAGGAATTCTATGCTGTGGGATGTGAGATGTGGCTCCAGGCTGGAGAGGGAATGGAAGGGGAAGTGATGCAGAAGTAGGGGTGCACAGCAGGGGAGATTCCTGCAAGGAGAGAGGCTTGTGTCCCTGAGTCACCCCTCACTGAGGGCTGCAGAATGGGTCTTGGCAGTCCAGGGACTGCATTTGTCCTGAGGACCAGAGAAAAGATGCCCAGGGAAAGCCGGGAGGCATGAGGGATCAGAGTTTGGGGTATGTAAGGAGAGGCTGAAAAGCCCTCTGAAAGAGCCGGTGCTTCTCCATCCTGCCTTTTCCATCTTGAAGGCTTTTCTGATAATTGCAGCTGGCTTCCCCCTCTCTGCTTTCCTATGATTTCTGTGCATTTCTAGTACTGGATTTTTCACCCTCATTCAGTTGCTCATTCTTGAATTCCATACTTGTCTGCAAGATAACCAAAGTCAGGACGATCTGCCATAAAACCTAGAAAATAGCAGGTGCTCAGTAAATGTTTACTAAACACACTCACTGATGACTAGCGGGCTGGATTAGTGCTGGGGTACAGACAGCTTGGGGATGAGAGAGTCACACATTGGCTTGGTTATCAAGCAACAGTTCATAAAACCTTAATGGTTTCATTTTTCCGTTTCAGATTACTTGCTGCGTATAATAGCCTGACCGATAAACATCTGGTGGGATATTTTAACAATACCAGGATAAGGAGGCATCTCTTAAGATCAGGGCTGGTAAGACTTGTTTTACTTTCTACTCACCTTCTTGTTTAAGCTGAGTAATTTCCAACCTTTCCAGATTTCCTCTTTTAGCTACTCGGTGACATCTTTCTTCCTACTCATTTCAGAAAAATTACTTCCTTTCCAAAGTTCTGATTTATTTATTTGAAGCTATTTCAAAAGATGAGCAGAGAGGTCACAGTGACAACTAAGGAAACATAAATTATTGAGGCACTGTCTCCATTAGCTTTCCACAGCATAGTTCATTTGTTTATTCATTCATGTATTCAACACATATTTATTGAACACATTCTACGAGCCTGAAACTGTTAGAGAATGAGGACAAAGAACACTTTATTGTCTTTGGAAAAGAATATTAGTTTTAATAATCACAGAATATGTTGTGGAAAATATGAACAGTTCAACATTTTCCCTTGAATTTTTTTAAACTCTCATTTCCTGTGATGGTTTATTGATACATTAGCATCTTTCATTAGCTTCACATCTGTCCTTTCCACAAAATTTCCATTCCTCTAAATGTATACGATATGGAAATCTTTAAAAATACTATGGATTTCCACTGAAAGAAAGGGGTGTGGTTATAGAAAGTGTCAGCTATTTACTGACTTTCTTAAATAAAAAACAGATTTTCTTAAGGGTTGTCGCCTTGGTGTTGAAAGAACACGCCTTGGGTTTTTAATTGTTATGTGCTTGGCACTGCACCTGGAGGGATCTCAGAGCGCTGGCTTCCTGTCTCCCGGGGGGCTTTGTTATCAGACAAAGCTGGCTGAAACCTGGCTTGCCTTTAACAAGACAGAGAATCATGAGCAAACCACTTAACTTTCTGAGCCCCAACTTCCTCAATTATGAAATGAAGATTGTGAAGCTCAGCCCTTAGAATTGTTATGACAACTAGAGATGTGCAACAAATGCTTTGTAGTTATTATTAACATTGCTTTTGGGGCGTAAGAATCCATGCGTTTTATGTGCAAATGGGAAAGGCTTTGTATTTACCTACCATCATTACCAAGCACTTACTGAGTCCCATGCACGGCGTCTCAGATCGGGAAGATTTGGCCACTTCTCTAGAGCTGTGGTATAAACATAACCCTCAGCAGCAGAGTTCAGCCTCACCTGGGAACTTGTTAGGGAATGCAAATACGAGAGTGCTACCCTAGACCTACTGAATCAGAAGTGCTGAGTCGGTCCCATCACTCTTTCTCAAGGGCTCCGAGTGATTCTGATCCAGGTTCAAGCTTAAAAGCCTCTGCCCTGTAGGAGCTTCTAATCTAACTGGGGAGATCAGGCAGAGTCTGGAGAAGATATGACAAGGACGCGCGTTAACTGGCAAGGGAATGGCAGTCAGGATTCTAAAGACTGCAACAGGGTTATTTGTAATTTTAGGCATGCTTTTTATAACATATACCTTTCTTTCATTGGAAAAAAATGTACGTGCACATACTGTATAATATATATAGGCATATATACATGCTGTTGATATTATATGATGTCTGGGTTATCAATAGCCAATTGTAACACAGCTCTGGTTGACCTCAACACTACTATTTTGCAAAAGCTTAAACTACTGTTAGCAGAATAAAGAATAAATATGTGGCTTCCATTAACTATAAAAGAAGAGTGGGGCTTATGCAAGTGGGAAAGGTCCCTGATCAGAAAGAATAACGCCCCTTGTTTACAGGAGATACAGAAAAGTACACAAATATTCCCATAGGAAAGAGTCAAAGAAAAATACACAAAAACAAACTGCCACTCCTGGGACATGCGATGATAAGAACTGAGACTAGTATTGAATACTTTCTATCTAAAGTACTGTATCATCTGTAAAATTGTGAATCCCAACAAATTAAATTACACCGTGGGCTGGAGAGTAGAAGAAAAAGCAGAAGGACAACAAAGTAATGAAACCAAATTTTATTTTAAAACAAACCGATGAGCTCCTGTGTAGCTGGCCTGTTCTGCTCTTCAGAGCACTTTCGGGAGCTCATCGGTCGGGTCCTGTGCTCAGGGCTCCAGCTCAGGGTAGCTGCGCCCTCGCCTTCCCAGAGTGTGCTCAGAAAGAGCCATGAGAAGAACACCTGGTTTCCATCCGGGGAAGATTGTTCGCCTAACGCAAGCCTTGTTTCAAGCGTCAGCTGCACCACCTGTGTGTATTTTCCCAATGGTGGGTACCCGAGGCTTCCTTTCTCCTTTTTGCCTTATGAAGTATTCATTAAAAGTGGAACCTTATCGCCCACAGCCGCGTAATCCTCCAGGCTTTCAAGACACCGCCACTCTCTGCTACCCCCCCCCCCCCGTCTCAGTCCTTCTCTCCCTGCTTCCCCTTTGATGACTAACAATTTATTTTCTACTTTGCATTTCTATGTTCGCTTTATTTATTCATTACAGATCACAAGAAGTGGAAGAATACTTTCGGAGAAAGAATATAGACTAAACATAATGAAGCGGGATCATCAAAAATATATTCGGGAATGCTTGGCCCAGGCTATTTTCCATAAGGTTCTTGATATGGAGGTACAGCTATTTATTACTATCTTCCTTATAATTGCTGGTTTATGATATGCTAATTAATAATTCTTCTGTACCCAGAAGCAGGGAATTCTTTCTATATTTCATGAAAAAGTAAAGAGAGCCCAGCGACTTAAGTAACACTCTGTATCTCTCCAGGTAGACAGGAGCCAAGAGACTAGTGTAAGCTTTGCTCCGTTTCAGTTGGGAAAAAATATGGACATCATAATGTATTTTGTGATATTTAATTTTCTAAATGTAGATTTTTAATCTACAATGGCTACTCTGAAACATACCAGCCCTCACCATCTGTACCTTAATTTCCATTTGCTAAAAAAAGGTGACATCTGCTTAAATATCAGTAATTCCACTGTCATGAATTATTTCAGATCTGTTATTCTTTTAAGGCTTCGAAGCCCAGCCGTATGTTAAGTTTCAAGGAATAGGCATTGAAACATCTGCTGTCCCTCCTACTTCAGGCCACATTGGTCACATAGATTTACAACCCAAGCATCAACAATGTTTTTTTATCAGACATGGCATTTTTAGTGGGATATCCAGCTAACTTGATAAATTATTTCAGCCTTGGTCCATGAAACTTGTAGTTTCAAGCACCAACACCGTTTTAATCTCTGTGAAAAAGCATGTCACTTCTTGGCTTGACCATACAGCCATGAATCAAAAAACATGGCTTGTAAAACCACTGACCTGTGGGTGCAGTAAACATTTATGAACAAGTGTAGAATCATCAGTAAACCAATACTAAGATTGTTACCACTGAAAATATTTCTTATATAGCTGCCATAATACTGATCAAGTGGAGTATCTGCTTAAGATGGGTATATGTATGTATATAAAATCAATTAATTTAGGAATTTATTTTTTGCTTTATATCATATGCATGAATAATATAAAATCACTGTTTATGGCCCCAAATTCACTTGCTTATAAGAGTATTCATTGGAATTGTACAACTTTGTTAAAAAAAATAGTACAGCACAAAATTAATCTATACCTAGTTTCAAATTTACTCAATAGGCACTGAGTTCCATATTAGCTTTATCTTTGCAATTTAGTTTTCAGAAGTCTCACATAACTGACGCATTATGACACATCAGAGCTATTTAGACAAAGCATCATTTAAGGGTCTTCATAAGTCTAACATTTTGAAATAGACATATTTGATAATATACAGGTTGGAGATTCCTAATCTGAAAATATGAAATCAAAAATATTCCAAAATCCAAAACTTCTAACACCTACATGAACTTATAAAGTTGTGGATTTAGATATATTTCATATTTCCAATTTCCTAACCACTTTGGATAAGAGATACTTAACCTGTATAATATATTAATATTTTAGAACAAATATTATTTTTCTATAAATTGTCACATTTGTCTCCCTTCTGGTTTATGGTGATTCAACTTGTGAAAATTGTTGCATCACTACTTGGAATAGTCCTCTTTCTGTTACTAGGACATAATGCCTAACATACACAAAGGAGAAAATGGTTGATTTTGGCTCACGGTTTTGGATGTTCCAGTCTGTAGTCATCTGGTTCCCTTGCTTTTAATCCTGTGGCAAGGCAGAAACATCATGGTGGAAAGGCAGAGAGGAAGAGAGCTGGGGAAGAAACAAAGGAGAATTCACCAGGGACCAGATCTAGTTCCCATGCTTCCTTGACCCACCCAGATGCACCAGAAGTGTGTTTTACTAATGTCCTAGGTCACTCAAGCCAATCAAGATGACAACCAAGATTAACCACCAGCCTGGCATCATGGCACACACCCGTAATCCCAGTACTTTGGTAGGCTGAGGCAGGGGGGAATCATAATTTCCAGCCCAGCCTGAGCATCTCAGTAAGACTTTGTCTCAGAATAAAAAGTAAAAAATGGGCTGGGGAATCCCAGTCTTCATATTAATTTCAGGTTTACCACATGCCAGAATAAAGCTATATATTGCAGCTGTACATAAAACTTTAAAAAATACTATAGGAAATGATCCAGTGTTAGAGGGGAGGCACAAACAAAGTAGCTCAGAAAAGAAGGGCAGGAGGATTTCTTCCATGGGGTCAGAGGAAGCAGAACAGAAATCCTGCTATTTGAAATGAATGTTTAGAAAGGAACGAAAATTCCCACCAAAACTTGGGACAGGCATTCAGGACAGTGAAGACCGCAGGTATGAAGTTATAGTACGTTGTGAATGGAAAGGCAAGCTCACTGAGGCCAGACTCCTCAGTGGGGTTGGCTGGGAGCAATGGCAGGAAGTGACAGTATCCAACAAGCTGGGTTCCATTTCCGGGGAGCTTTAAACTCTCAACTCAGTTTGAAGTGTAGGTGATGAGGCGATGAAATGTTTTTCAGCAGGGGAGTGAAATAAATGAGCAGAACTGTTTTAGAAAGATGATGTTGCTAAAAATGTGGAAGATGGATTAATGAGCTGGAAAAGATTGGAGGTGGGAGGTCAATTAGGAAGCTGTTGCCAAAGGGTGTGGGGTAACAGCAGTAGTGGTAATGTGAGGGAGATGCAGCTGTCTGCAGAGACACAGAAGACGAAGAAAGCTTTAAAGCAACAGAACAAGGAGGAGTGAGGGAGAATGAGCAGGGCAGAGTGGCTTTGAGATCTCCAGCCTGGGTTGGGGTAGGTGGGCCTTAGGAGCCCAGGAACCATAGCAAGACAGGAAAGAGCCTTCAAGTGGAAGAGCACATGCCCGAGAGGATGCTGTCCGGGAAGCCAGGAGGCTCTTACCCGCTGCAGAATAATTACAAAAGATGGGTCCCTGGAAAAAGAGCAATGGGGGTTAAGCCCAGACACAAAGTCATTGGTGGCCTTGGGGAAAATGCCATCAGGGTGGTGAAGATGATGGGCTGCCCAGAGTGCTGGGAATAAGTGGAAGAGGGAAAGTGGTTGACAGGGAATGTAATAGAGTTTGGTAATGAGCAGGTGAGGGATCCAAGAAAGAAGGAAAGGAAAGGGAAGCATCAGGAAGAGGCTTGATGATGCTTAGGCCCTGAATGATTGAGTCCGCAGGGTGCCCCAGATGGCAGAAACAGATCAAAATCAGAAAATCCAACCTTTTCCCCCACACAGGGGCAATAAATAAAATGCCCTCGAATGCATCTCAATGACTTCAATTGAATTGTGAGCAGGTTCTTTTTCTTTTTTTTTTTGCACTAATTGTATTGGTCCGTTTTAGGTATCCAATATGCTGACATTCATTATTGGGAATTTGCACCTTTACATAATCTTAGTTCTTCTTTTTTCCCCCTTCCCCTGCCCTCCCTTCAACCTCACCCCCTCCCTATTTACAAAGAGTTTGTTTCCATTTTTTCCATAGCTCAATATATTATACTGAGCTTTGGAAACTTTGGAAAATATAAATAACACAATAAAGGAAAATAATCATAAATAGTTCCTATTCACAGAGATTATTGTCATTGTACATTTTTAAGTTTCTTCTTCTCATGTTTATGGATTAATAAAATCATGCTATGTTGTGAGAGGGACATGATTTTATGAAAAACAAAAACAAAAAACGAAAAGTTAATGTCAGAGAGAGCAAGATTCAAATTGCAGCTCTATAGGTGACTGAATGTCTGACCTGAAGTTTATGATATTCCACCTCAGTGTCTCTATTTGTAAAAGGAGACTGGTTGATAATCAAACACAGAGGATCCCTAACCTGTCTTCTTGGACAGAATCCCAATAGCACAAGAAATAACCAACACAAAGAACCAACAAATGGAATTATGACAAACTAAAAAACTTCTGCACAGCAAAGGAAACAACAAAACGAAGAGACAACCTACAGAATGGGAACCTTTTCCCCAGCCATTCTTTTGTAGAGTACTGATATCTAGAATATATAAAGAAATCTAAATGACTCAATCAAAAATGTGCAAATGACCTGAAGAGACAATTCTTGAAGGATGAAGTATAAATGACCAATGAGTACATGAAAAAATGGTTATCATCTCATATGCAAAGTAATTTCCTAGCACAAGGACAGCTACATGATAAGGGTTTTCATCGATTAAGTTGTATTTCTATGCAACTTTGAATCCTGCTTTTTCTTTCATTACATGCATTTGCCATTTTTAGAACAAAATCCTTATAATCCCCATGTCAGTGATTATATCCTACCCCATTATATGGATGTGCCAAAAATTTAACCATTCTCTTCAAAACTTATTTTACTTCTGCTTTTTTGTTTGGAAAAAAAGAAAAACAATGGCTTCTGATAGCATTTTTATTCATAAAATATTTAAAAATTGTTATTCAGTTTTCCCCCAAGGTGTAGGAGTGAAATGTACAGGTTAAAGGGTATGAATACTTTTGGCTGCCTGATATATATTTGTAGTTGGCTTTTCAAAGAGTAGTACCAATTTATACGCCCACCTGCAGACTTTTGCAGGTGATTCTTCACCATTTCAATGACAAAAGGGATAATTGAGAACATAGTTAGCTATTGGGATTATTTTCTTCTTAAAGATTCTTTGCTATTATTGATAGGATTCTCTCCTCCATTCCTTCTTGTATGCTTAGCGTTACCATCAGCTTGAAATAAAAAGGAAACTGGAGACCTTAGCTAGGAAGGAGCGGTTTCAGAGATTTAAGGTAAGGCTATATATATATATATATATATATATATATATATTCTCATTTTTTCATAATATTATTTTATGGTTTCAAAAATCATTGGTGTTATTCTTGAAGTTTCCTAAAGGTCTTTACATTTGAGTAACAGAGAGCTGAGGTAAAAAAAAAATGGTTCTACTGAGCTAAATCTTGACCATCATCATTATCAATGATTGTGAAAAACTAGAAGCTGTTTGTGTGAAAAACAATTTTAATAAGGCACCAATCCTTCTAAGACAAAAAAATTCCAAGTTTAAAATTTTGCTTTAGTGTTTTCTTGTAACAGTAGTGTCCAAAGGATTTTTGCCTGCCCAATTAAAAATAGATGGTAATGTTCTGAATGTGATGACAAATAGGGTATCGTGAGAATTATACAGTGGTACATTTTCATGTGACTATCACCCTTGAAAATTATGGTGGAAATGATCCTCTTTAGAAAAAGCAAGCAAAATAAGATTTAAGATGTTTTGACCTGAGCATTTTAAAATCTCTTGCTCGTTTTCTATTTTTGTATATGATATCCCTTCCTTGCAGTGAACTTATGAGAAATATAAAATTGAAGCAAGCAATGAGAGATTCAATTAGGCATGTTTGAACGATTGCAGGTTAGTTTGGCAGTTTTATTTGATTTTTTGAGCCCTTCAAAATCACATGTTGACTTTAATTTTCAGTGTAGTATTACAGATGCGGGACTAAAGCATGTTTCACAAACTGATGAGCATTTGTAAAGCTTCTGTAGAATAACTTGCCATTTAAAACCATAATTTTTCCCTCTTGCCTGATAGACTCAACTCTATTTCATCAGGGTCAAAAGATAATCTTGTTACAAAAATGTTGTTGAGTGACAGAAGGTAGGTCAGTTTTTTAAAGCTCTGAAGAGTTGGGCTGTAAAGATTTAAGATTAATTCAGCTTTGCTCATGTTGTCCTATATCAAGGACTGAGTTACCGGTGATATAATTTATCTGCTGAAATGTTGACAGGGAAAAATAGTTACTGGACAAAAACAGTGAGTAGCAGTACTTGAAGCTAGGTTGTGGTGGATCCATGTTCCATTCACTCCTCCCAGGTGGCCAGGTGTAGTAACCTGGGTACACAAAGACTGTAGCCTTGGCAGAGACTCGCCATAGTAGTCTAGTTCCTCCCCATATGGTTTTTGTCATAATTTTCACCTCATAACTGCAATTAGCAAAAAAAGTTTTAGGTCCCATTTATTTAATATGCAACCCTCTTTGCTTAGTAGCATGATTAAATTATTTCTGAAACAGAAAAAGTACTACTTTCTGGCAGTCTCCACTGATCAAAAAGCCTTGTGCTTTTTGATAGTGATCAGTTTAAAGCAGATTAATAAACTCTCGGTGAAATGGAGGAAACAGTGCTTTGGTCAGTATCTTTCTGTACAGTTAAAGCAGATTTACTTTCCTCCCTGAAACACACTCCCAGATCCCTGATGATTGTGGAAACTTTTTCTTAATACCAAGATAGACCTCAGGAGTAGCATTCTTGAAGGAATGAGAGTGGATGCCTTTGCTCTCATAGCCAATCCTGAAGCCATGTCGTATACTAACCTAGCCTACTGTATGCATATAGCCACTAAATCTCTCTTATTCCAGGGGGAGAACACAAGACAATCTGTTGAAAATAAGATGCCAATCCTGTCTCCTCACCCTCCACTTGGCTCAAGGGCGAACCGTGGTCATAATATTCTGGTTAACGAAGGACATTCCAGTCCATTAACACTGGTGAGTCATATTACCACTCCCAGCCAATTAATTTATGATTTCTTATGAATCTTAGAAATAGTTCTCTTTGAAAGTGTGCCTGCATAATCATATAAGTCCTGCTGAATGAAAACGTAGTCTTAAGAATAAACAAAAACCACGGATTTATATCTGTTCAACTGTCTCTACTGAATGTCTCCTCTCCAATCAAAATCATTCCTGCCAAATCTATTTTTCTTGCTACTGTTGGTTTAGTTTTCTTGAGATTACTTATGTTACTTGCAGGCCCAGATACCTTCTCTGGCTATGTATTACCTAAAGAAAAGTTCAGACTCCCTTATGTAACATTTCAAATACTAAACCAGTGATGGTGAAGGAACCTTTTAGAGCTTTCAGTTGTGCAAACAGCCACTGTGGCAGGCATGCCGCAGGTTCACCACCACTGTCCTAAACTATACGACCTCAAGATAAGCTATGCCAGTGCCCCTTTCTATTTGTCTCTTTGGCCTCTTACAGGGTAGCAAAGTTGAACCATGAGTTGTTTCATACATATTCTATATTTTTGACCGCTAAATTTCGTTCTTGCCTTGCCTCTACTACCGTTTTATCAGTGAAAATTTCTTAGTACCATATTGCATGTTGGCTAGATACTAAGGTTTGCACCTCTTTTATCAAAAGTATAATCAAATGTATAGAAATTCTATTTGAAGAAATTGGAGACTGGTATTCCAATTTGATTCATCTATAACCTAGAGATAGGTGATATTTACTCAAAAGAGGGTAAGGTCTTTTGAATCAATAGTTATAGGAAAGGATTTGCAAAATATTTCTTGGAGGAAGGTGGTTTAAGTTACAATTGAATTGCCTGATTGCATCTTTATTCTTGTTTTGTGTAAACTAATATATTTCCTTGTTAACATGAACCTTTTTTGCATTGCATAATATTTATAGAGAATTACAATGCTTTTCATAGAATGTTGAAGTAGGTTCATCATATGTAGTGTTAAGCTTTGACATTCTCAAATGGTAAATATATTTTGACATTTCCTGATGAACAGCCAAGTGATGAAAAGCAATCCTTCTTCCTTTGTTGTTACTCTACTTCCAGGTTTGATTTGTATGTATATATGAACAAATAATTTTTTATTGGCTGACAATTCACTAGATTCTCAAAAGCTTAACACAGGTGAAACAAGAGAAACAATTAAGTACTGTTTTCTGTCTTACCACCTGCTTCAGAGAGGAAAAATCCCTTTAAAAGCCTTCTTTTCAATTTTCCAGCTGAACACCCTCAATAAATAGTTTATGATACATCCAGGAGATCTTAATGTGGAAGGAGTGAGAAAGTAATTTAAAAATTACAGGAAACACTGACACCAGGACTTCTCAAGTCTTTCCCTGTGATGAGCCAGGATTCTTCACTTGGCCACCCCCCGTGGGGCTCTTGCGCCTGAAGGGGTGTCTATTTTGGTCTTGGGATTGTACTTCCATTTTACAGAAAATCAAGGCACTCTTCTTTTTGTTTTCTCAACCTGAATACTGATCCTTTAAATGTCACTCCTGACCCCAAGTGCCACTGAGATGAAGATAAAAATCCTTCCTGCCATTAAAAAAAAAATTCTCAAGTGAATAAAGAAAGCAACCAACACAACATTAGTGTGCCTGGCCACTAATGGCACCTAAACCTTCAAAATAGCATGCAGGGTTTTAGCTGCACCACTGTCATTAAAACTGGGGAGAGTCATTTCAACTAATTCTGTGCATTCTAGGAAAATTCACCCCTTGGTGTCTTCAAAGAATTAGAAATGCTCAGGTTGGGTGAGTAATCAGCAGGTAGTCAGTGTTAATTCCCTTTCTGGTACAGCTCCAGTGCCATATTTATTTCAGGAAAATATATTCCAAACAATTTAAAATATAGCAAATTTAAGGTAGTTTCTGATGTGAACTACAACAGTTTGTAACTCACAGCTGTTAGTTAATGGTGCAGATTTGTTTTTAGAGACAAATGTAATCAGTTAAACATTTGACTGCCACATTCATCTAACTGAATGATATTTGTATGCAAATGCAGTGAAGTAAAATTTAGAGCATAACAGCCAATAGATCATGTTCTAGTTTGCACTAACCTGCTTTCTTGAATTCCCACACTGGATTTTTCATATTTTTGTGTTCAACTAGATTATGTGAAAAGGGGGAGTCTTAAGGCATGTTTGTTTTAGAGTCCAAGAGAATTCTTTTGGGTGGTCTGATTCCCTTGTTCAGAAACCTCTAGTTTAATTAAACCTTCTAGTTTAATTTGAGGATTTTGAACCTTTTACCTTTTGGTCCGTAAGGCTTATATCTTGTTACTTTAAATCATGTGCTACTGTTGTGAGTCCACTTGTATTGGTTGTGACATAGGTTTGTAAGCAGAGGCTCCTTAAAAATAAGGACCCCTCCTTGGTGCACCAGCACAACCCATGACTCAGCTGGTGTGCCACTTTTATTCTACGACGTTAACAAATGCAGATTCCATTTGTATTATTCATCTACCAAAGTTAGGGTGTTGCTTTCATCACATAAACCAAGATGGTTTATCACCATATGAGTACTTCAATCTGAGGGAAGGGGTAAAAGGAAAATAAGGACACACTTCTCAAAGGGCATAAAGTAGAAATTTCTTATTTTTTTAAAAAAACTTTATTATCAAACACACACAGATACAAAAATTAAAACCATTCAAAGAAGAACAATGCAAGGAGAAAAAAAACTATAATAATATTCAAATACAGTAGAACCCAACCAAAACGAAACTGAAAAGCACTTCAACATTTTTCCATATAACTTAAAAAAGCATCTCAAGCACCAACAAGACACCAGAGGATGTGATTTATTCCAGAAAGATCCCCCAAACCAACATAGAACAAATAGTGGTCTGGAAAAAAAACTCCAGTTAGCTGGCAGACTCCACATAAGCCAAGCTTCTCCCTAATTTAAATTTCAATACAGTCATCTGACACGTGATGGAGACACAATCCGAGAAATATGTTATTAGGCAATTTCATCCGTGTGTATCCTTATTTACACTTCCAGTTTCTCACACTAGAGAAACTATTCAGTATTTACACATGTGTCCTATTTATTTCACTTAAGAAGATGGGCTCAATATGCATCGGTTTAGCTATAAATGTCTCTAGTTTCTCATTCTTTATGGCTGAGTAGTATTGCATTTTATTAAAAAAACCACACCTTCTTTATCCAGTTTCCAGTTGATGGGCACTTGGGCTGTTTCCAAGCTTTACCTATTATGAACTGTGCTGCTTTAAACATGGGTGCACATATATCACTGTGGGATGATTCTTGTAATTCTTTTGGGAAGATACCCAGCAGGGGGGTAGCTGGGTCCAATGGGACCTGTAAGCCTAATTCTTCAAGGTATCTCCATACTGATTTCCACAGTGGTTGCACCAGTCTGCACTCCCACCAACACTGGAGAAGTGTTCCTTTCTCTCCACAGCCCCACCAGTATTTGTTATTGGATGATTTCTTAATAACAGTCATTCTTTCTGGGGTGAGGTGGAATCTCAGTGCTGTTTTCATCCACATCTCTCGAATAACCAGTGATGTTCAACATTTTTTCATATATTTATTTTCTGCTTTTACTTCTTTGTCTGAGAAATGTCTGTTCATTTCAGATGACCATTTTTGAATTTGGGGGGGTCTGATTTTTTCAGTTCTTTATATATTCTAGATAGCAATCCTTTGTCTGAGGTACAGCTGCTAAAATTTTTTTCCCAGATTGTAGGATGTCTCTTAGCTCTGTTGGTGGTTTCTCTTGCAGTGCAGAAGCTTTTTAATAAGATGAGATCCCAGTTATTGATTCTTTTTGCTAGTTCCCATGCTACTGAGGTTTTTTTCATAAAATCTTTTCCTATACCAATGTCTTCAAGGGTTCTACCTAACATATCTTCCAGCAAATTTAGTGTTTCTGTCTTAATATTTAAATCTTTAATCCACTTTGATCTTAATTTAGTGCATGGTGATAGGTATGGGTCTAGCTTTAATCTTTGGCAGGTTGAAATCCAGTTTTTCCAACACCATTTATTAAATAGGCTATCTTTCCTCAATGAGGGTGGTTGGCTCCTTTGTCAAAGAT